ATGTGGCTCGAGACTCAGGAATCGGGAAGTGTCTTGAGAGTCAGGAATAGGGAAGTGTCTCGAGAGTCAGGAATAGGAAAGTGTCTCGAGAATCAGAAATGTGGTCTGCAGGTCAGGAATCCGGCGAGAGTCAGGAATGTGGCAAGAATTGGGGGATTCCTGACAATACCTTTAGGTGTTAGTCATGGGATCGGACACATGGAGCACTTGGACCAAGTGCAAAGGTTGAGTGGCACAAATACCATTCTCGAGGTTAGCAAGTCCCTAAATCCAAAGTAGGATTTCTAAAGGTTGTGAGTGAGACTCCTTTAAGTGGTTGAAGGTGTGGTTAAGTGATTAAAGTAGAATGGAAAATTTATTCACTTACAATTTGGTTATACATGTGGGTGATCTTGAGCTTGAGTTGTAGTTATTGCAGGTGGTGCCGAGTCAAACTTTTGACTTCATCTTTGGTATGGATTGGTTGCACCATAATCATGCCAAGTGTGACTTTGAAGCTTCTCCCCTTTGTTTTATACTTCCTTACATATCTTCCATTCTTTTCACTTTTATTCCTTTTTGTCCCTCTACTTTTACCTCTACTTCAATCACTTTTGTCTTCCCATTACTTCCTTTTATATTTCTGTTTTATTCCTCTCTTCCCTTTTCCGATCCCTTTGATGATCTTTGTGTTGTAATGATTGATTGCCTCATGAAAGAGTATGCCGATCTCTTTGAATTTGACTTATCATTTGGGGCCAAAATTGCAACACGTGATCCTATTTCAACTGGGGATGCTAGCCTAATCAAGGTTCATGTTCATTGTCGGTCACCCAAAGAGATCAAAATTTTACATGTAAATGTCAAGGAGATGTTGGAAAATGGAGTCATTCGAAAGTCACAGAGTTGTGTGAACCTCATATTGTGATAAAGTCTAATGAGAATATTCATTTTTGCATCGACTATCGTTTGTTAAACAAAGTGACGATCCCAGATGTGTACCCTCTTCCTCACATTGCTAATTTGTTTGATTAGTTGGGAAGAAGTTATTGGTTCACCAAGTTAGATTTTACTTTTAGTTATTGGCAAATATCGGCTAAAGAAAATATTTCTAAGATTTTTTTTTGTACACCATTTGGTTTGTATGAGTTCTTAGTGATGCCATTTCCATGATCGACTGCTGACAATAAATAATCAATATTACTTTTGATTACTTAAATCACTGAGTGGAAGTTAGTGCTCTTGCTAATGCATTTATAATTGTTATTGGATACTTCCTTCTCAATCAAGTGGTATTCCAACATTCTTGTTTTATGAAAGTGTGACATATCCCCAATTGAGACATTAAAACTTGAAATGCCTCAGCCATAAATGCGAGATCATTATCCCAAAGAATCCGTTTTAGCATTTATCATCCACAATCAGATGGTTTGGTGAAATAGCTTATTTGGACCTTCAAAAAGATGATCGCGAAGTATATGAACTTTCAACATTTGAATTAGGATGATTATTTGTCGTCTCTTCAGTTATGCATACGTTATAGGGGTGCAGAGTTCTTTTGGTATTTCACCATATCAACTCCTATATAGTCATCATCCAATACTACCAATAAAGTTGGGTTTACTTTTATGATTGCCACAAGCTGTCAATACTAGGTCGTGGGATCAATATTTGATGAGCATTCTTTCACTTATCCAAGTAGAGTTTGCTAAACATGTAGGCCACGCATAAGTGGGACAATAATAGCATTACAACTCCCATCATCATCCACCTACGGAATATAAAGTGAATGACTTGGTGTTAGTTTGTTTTTTCAATCTTACAATACATGGTTTATCTAAAGGGCTCCTTGTTCAATGGAAAGAACCGTATTGGGTGTTGTGGTAAGTATATGAGGTTGGGCATAATGTTTAGCAAGCCGATCCTCCAGAAATTTTGCATGTATAGCAATTAAAATGCTTCATACAAAGGGATCAAGAACAATTGGCACCATCTACAAATCCACTAATTCCTCTTTCTAATGTTCCTCTAGATCCTGACCCATTTACAAAAGAATTTTGATGGTTTTCTATCATTCTAAAAGGAGGGGATGATATGAGGTCCATTTATATAGCTACAATGTCATATACTAATATTAGTGTAATAGGATTTTAGTAGCTATCAAATTAGTTTCAATCCCGACCACTTGCTCCTCTATATAAGCTAGGGTTTTTAGTCTAATTAGGATGCACATTTCTGTATTCTCTTTCTCTATTCCATGCACTCATAAGTGTTCATTATTTGTACTAATAAAATTAATAATTTTTAAATTTAACTTCATCCCCAATGTATTTTTATAGATTTAAAAGATAATGTTTTGAATTTTGTTTTTGGGCCAAATTCTCTAAAATATTCTTTAGATATGTTTTTTCTCCATTTACTTACAATGTTTCATTGAATCCTTAAATGCTGACCATAGATATAACAAGTTCCTGAATAGCAAAAATAATTTTAATTATAAAGTAAAATCAAGAAAATAACTATACTAAAATGCATTATAAAGGCTTTCACAATGTATTAATCTATTTTTGTTTCTCAATATATCTTGTTTTTATAGTTAGAAATCACTTCAAACTCCACCGTATTATTTACTTTTTAATACTGTTCCTAAGTCTATATTAAATTAATAAATACATCTAATTCTCTAATTGAAATTTGTGTCATGTGTACATGTGGTACTATATTAATATTAACAAGCCTTCTTACACCATCCTCATCACCACCTCCCACTATATATATACAAATCCCTGCCACCATCTTCACCATCTCCACCACCACCATACGTGTACTAATCTCCACCCCTAGCATCTCCATTGCCACTTCCTCCTTACTACTACAAGTGGCTTTAGTATATTTATTTCTATATCCCAAGTGCTTACATTATAGTCATTACACTAATAATATCATATCCAAAGTAATCTAGGGAACTTAATCATGCAACAGCCAACCCTCTTCACAATTGTTATTGTGGTCTTTGACAATGCTTTTTTAGACTCACCAATCACAACATTCTTGTCAAAATCAATAAGTCAACTTGAACATCAATTGGAATAGATCTTTGCCAACAAATGTCTTGAATATCCTAATATAGAACTAGGTGAAACATTATAAAATTCAGAGCTTCCTTCCCCCAAGTAAGCCAATTACGGGTGATCACTTGATTGTAGGGCCCTTTTATTATCCTGACCTACAACCCTTTTGTCACTAAAGAATACTGTAATTAAAACTTCTGGTCAAGAATAATAAGATAAGAAAAGATTCTGTGAGCTGAGAAAGAGCTATTGCGATAGTAATGATGTATTGAGTTTTAGTTTGATAGAGCAATTACAATGACCTGATGCCTCTAACACTATCCCACCAAGCTGTAGCACCAGACTTCACCAACTAGATCTCCAAACCTCTATTCACTTGTCTAGGGGCATAGGGCAGGAGTGTAAGGAGAGGTAGAGATTGTGGACTACCTTTAAAGTAGTGGTGTCAGCACTAATGGAGAAAAACAAGTTATTAAGCTTTTCTTTCTCTCTATAATACATTTTATGTATGTAGTTTCAAAGATTAAAGAGGGAGAATCAGAGCATTTAGTGTTGAATCTAGCAGCATTACCTAATTGAAAGAATTAGCCCCTAAATGAGACTTTGATTCTTGTGGGGATCAAGCAATAGGAACTTGCAAGGATGGTGATGATAAGTGGTAAGATAGTGCTAGTTGTTGATATCACTGGACACATCACAAATGCCTACAACAAAATCAAAGACTAAAAGTGGTAATTTAGGAGTGCAAACTACCTCACAAGCTGCAACAAATCATACCTCATTGATATTCTTGTTGGAAAATTTGAATGTGGACAATGGAAATGATAGGGAAGGTGACCAAGGTGATTAGGTATAGGAGTTGGAGTTTAAGAAGCTCAAGGAAGAAAAAAAGAAGAGAATAAGTCAAACACTTTTTGGTGTTCTGAAGGACATGAATGCTCTTATCACTAGCAAGATTAAATTTATTGCCCTCCAGTAGAAAACAGTGATTTTGATCAAAATGGACAAAGCTGCGTTAAATGCTCAATTCTCATTGGAATTTGAGAATATGCCTAACATGATCCTTAGAGAACTAAATGGAGCAGTAGTAAGAGCAACATAATTGTGTGTTCATTAGCCTAGCTCACACTTAATTTCTTCATGTCTTGAGCATAGGTGCTATGGACAGATTCATGTTAGAATACTGCAATAATGCTTGTTGGAAATGAAAGCTATAAATGAAAAAAAAAAACTTTTATATTGGAATATTTATAAGGAACACTTCTTGAAGATCAATTCTTGTTGATGTTTGAGATATTAGAAGCACTTAGTAAGGAAATTATAACATTAGTTGATTGTTTGGTGTTTAAGTTAACTTTATAAGTTAAATACTTCTTCTCAAGAATACATAATCTCATTAGATCAAGAGAATAATAATATAGTAGCATGACTGGAGGATAAAATATAATCTGATCCATGTGGCAGCTAATTATCTTTTTTTTTTTGTGAGATTTAAAAATTCTTTGGAATTTAGGCAGGAGAATCAAGAGTGAGGCAATCTAGGGAACTTTAATGGATTCAAAGAGATCAGCAGCAAAACAAAGAGGTAGCAACAAGTTCTAGACAATAGTCCAGATCATGAGAAATCACAAAAATCTTGGGTTTGAATGATAAAAGGGTGAGGATGGAGCAATAGAGGGCCTCACTATTGCCATTTCTGTCATGGCCAAGAAGCTACTAGAAAGGTTGTGTGTAGCATCTTTTGGTGTTGCGATCTGGTGGGGAGAAATCTTGCTGCAAGAAGACCCCTGGACTGCAATTGGTGGGCCAGACAAGTTCAAGGAGAAAAAGGATTAGCTCAAGCCAGACAAGCTACACCATATGGATTAAAACTGATTTAAAACTGTTTGCCGCACCCTCCAATGGAAAACCTTTCACAAGCATTATCCTATTTAAAGGTTTGTTCAAAATGTAGGTTCATGGCTACTTCTTTGGTCTCCTCTCAATTTGCTGGGGCTCTTGTGGAGCGCGGGTGGTCTGGAAGAATTAGGTCGAAGAGATTCTCGGGCATTGTGGCCGCATCGAGGCCTGGAGATTTTGAGAGCGACGGCGAGCTCATCACCAAGCGGCTCAAGGATTTGTCGGTAATGTCAATCTTCTCTAGAAGTACTTTGAGATTGGGACGGGAATGCAGGATAGCCTATTGCTGCCTCGTGATTTCCTGAAGTCCCTTCCTCGAGATTTGCAAGTGGATGTAAGTCAGTGATCCATTTATCGAGTTGTTCCAATTGATCTTTGTTTGGCTCTTCTCTTTTGCTCACAGGTTAACGATGCAGCGTTTGCACTATCCAGAGGTCCTGTTCATCAAGAGGTGCCCCGTTTTTCTCCTCCTTTCGCTTCTCTTGTTTTGTTCTTTCTAAGACAAAGCTAAGATTTTCTTTAGTGTGGAAGCCAAGTTGGAGAGCTTCTTCAGCGGCTTTCAAAGGCGTGGGAGCGATCCGACACGGACTCGGTTGGAGAAATTGGCAAGGCTTTCACGGGTTTGGAGGGAGCAATCTCAAAGAGTGGCAATGGACCTGGTAAAGTTTTTCAACGTATACTCGTTCTCTTCCATGAGTAACTTCTCGTTTGCTTGTTTCATTCATGCAGCCTTTGGAAGGAGACTGATCAGAGCTGGGAACTACTTCAAGTCCACAGGACAATATGCTCAGGGCGAATTTCAAGATGTACGCCATCGTTTCGTTTCTTTATTTTTTGCGTGTGTGTGTGTGTGCGCGCGCTAACAATTTCTTATCAAGTTTGCAGATAGCCAAAGCTCTCTTGGCTCTTGGAGAGGCAGTGGGAGGGCGAGAAGCTCCAGAGACTGACATATCCACCATGCCCAGAGTTTTGAAGGTAAAGAAAGAAGAAGCTTTTTTGTTTTTCATAGAAGAACTAGAAACTCGTATACTTCTTCCACGACCAGTTTGGAACCTTACAAGTAGCGATCACGCCGGGCAAAGCGTTCACAGGAGCGGCCATTGCCTTGGTTTTCGGGTATGATTTTTGGTTTCTTCTTCACTATCAAAACAAGCCTCCTTTTTTCTATTTTATGAAGGTTTTTATCATGGCAGCTTGCCGCGGCTGTCAAAAACATTCCAGAGTCTTCCCTGAGCTACGCAAACGACAATGCTCTAATGGTTGCGGCTGTAAGTCTTTAAAAAAACTTTCCTCGCTTCTCATAGCTCGATTTGCTTTGTTTCTTCCATTTTTCCAGTCTTTGCGGGGAACTCTGCTTGCGATGGCCTATTCATGTGCTGGTCTCAGTGCATTCTCCACTGTCGGCTTACTCGTCCTTGGCTTCCAGGCCAAGAACAAAGAATAGAGCTATACTATGAGCAAAGGAAGGATCTCTACAATTCAATGTGACCTTTGAACATCACTTGTCGTTGTAGTATAGTGGTAAGTATTTCCGCCTGTCACGCGGACGACCCGGGTTCGATCCCCGGCAACGGCGACATCTTTTTGCTAAAATCATACTAGTTCTTTTTTTTCTTTGTGGTGTTCTTGAGTCTCGGCCTTTCGTTTTCGCGGATAAAGCTCCATAATTTTCTTCTTTTCATTTCATGCTTGGAAGAATTGTAGCAGCGCAGAGGCCCATCTCGATTTGCAGCAATGCGAGGTATGATGAGGAAGAAAGGACGAGCGTGTGGGATTCTTCCAATGTCAAGAGCGTGAGGCATAGAAACAGGGTGAGATTCATCAAAGAGAGCACTTGGAACACCCAAAATGGCTACTCCAATCGGAGAAGTAAATTCCATGACAATGAAGAGCGCAGCAAGAGATGGGAGTTTCCTCGAGATCAAGAAGATGAAGATTTCGATGATTATGATGAAGAGGAGGACGATGAAGAGGAAGAGGATGAAGACCAAATAGATTTTAGAGCAGTAAGTTAAGAACAAAGATTTTTCGTTTTTCGAGATTTTGATGCTATGGTTTTGATCTTAGGTGCTTGGTCTGTTTGGAATTGGACTACCAGTGGCGTTCATAGCAGTTCCATGGCTGATCAATCACCCCATGGCTCTCACAATGGTTCTTGCTCTACCTCCACTGGTCCAGCGGGCTTTCAGATTTGCTGTGGACGTGACGAGCTCGTTCTCAAGATCTCGATCCAGATTTCGAGAAAGATATCGATCGAGGTTTGCAGGTCCTGCGCGTCGCCGCTATCAAAGATCGAGGACTATGGATCGAGACGAAGAAATGGATCCAAGACATGGAAATGGAGGGATGGATCGAAGATATAGAGATGGAGAGCGATCTCAGAGCTATAGAACATATAAAAGAGGTGGTAAAGAGGTGGATCTGGATAGCACGTATACCAGCGATCGAAGAACTAGAGGTGGCGATACGAGCGACGATGAGATTGGTGGTGTTAGCTCCTGGGACATCTCGAACGAGAGCAAGGAAGAACAGGGAAGTATGGAGGGATGGATTGAGCTGGAAAATGATAGAAAACTGCAATTTCGACGTACCAGAAGAGTAGCAAAAGCACGGATGCGAAGGCTCCAAAGGAGGAAGGACATTTCCTTGTTCTGGAGATTTTTTCTATCAGCTTTTCCTTTCTTGCGGTCGTGGGGAGGATTCCTGTAGCATACAAGCAAAACTTATTAGCATGGCTACACAGAGCTTGAATCGAGAGAAACTTACTTGTGAATAAGCATACGAGTAGAAGAAATCTGTGAGCACTCAAAAGTAAAAAACGGAGTCAAGGCAAGATGGAAACGTTATCGAGTTACCATGAGAGATTCCACAGGGGTGTTGTCGGCCAATATTGCCAGCACGCAGGCCGGTCCCTGGAGATGAGCAGCACCTTGGAACCCGAGTAGTCGAAAGTTGGACAGTACAAATCATCGCTGCCAATGACTGCCGGTCCGCAAGCTCCGCCAGTCGATGCATCGAACACGAACAAGCCGTTCCCGTTGACAGCCATGACCGAGCTTTTGTCTCCCCAAACTTGAGATATTTGCGTGTGTAGATGATGAGAAGAAGCCGACTTTGGAAGCGTGTAGAGCATCATTGGCTGGCCTTTGCGTATAGACCATTGCTGGATGGTACACTGCGACTTAATCGTGCCTGCCGCGTAGACTGCTTCGCCGTGAGCGTACAGGGAGTGAACGTCCTGACCAAGCGTTGGAATCTTCACAGCGACTCCTGAAGGGACCCGAAAGTCGAGGATGCTCACAGCTTCTTGAGTCGCAACGACTCCGACGATTCCATCAATGTTCTTAGAGTTAATCCTGTGGAAGTGTCAGAACGAATCGATAATAGACATCAGAAAGTACGTACCTTTGTCTGACGCCGCCATTGCACTCACCATCGATGTTGTATATGTGAACAGCTCGAGGAGCATTGCCGGCTAAATCGATGGTGTGGACACACTGAGCTTCTGCATTGGACACGTCCCATGCAGTGACGACTTTATCTTCCACGGCGATTAGAGTACCCCTGCTCCTCCACTGTAGCGGCGAACTGTAGCTCATAGTTGATGACAGGCATCTCTTTGAATCCCAATTCATGACACGATCACCATCTCGAATGTCGTAGAGCGTAAGTGTCTTCAGCCCACTGCCTCCACAAGCTATGAGAGGACCACAAGGTGTGTACCACCATAAAGGGAACTCCAGCTCTCCCTTGGACTCGGAAAACCTGTGGCCTTGAGTGGAGCCTGATCCCAGGGACGAGGTATCCTTTGAAGAGCGTCTAGATTCTGGACTCGAGCTTCTGTTGCTATGGGGTGTCGTCGGCCAAGATGGGGTCTCGGAACGATACGCAGCTACAGTTTTATCGTAGAAGTTCCACGAACAAAATGCCGGATCAACTGCAGTGCCAGCAGAAGCTGCCACTACGTATTTACACGAGCGACCATCCATTCCTGCGGCTCTGATAAGCCAGCAATCTCGCCAAGTCGAAGGGACTAGTTCTTCGGGTAGTTTGTACTGAGATTTCTCCTGCAAATCAAAAAAATCTGAAGCTGTTAGAAAAACCTTTGAATATAAACAACAGCTTACCTCCATATTAGCAACATCGTAGAACGAGCAGCTACCATCATCGTGTGCCAAAAGCATTCCCTCTGCTTCGTAGACAAACCATCCCGCCAGCACAGATTTACTTCCGAGCTGACAAAGTTCCGGCTCCGTGTCGTCTACTGGCAGTTCCAAAGCAGAAACATTCACCGCGGGTACCGCATTCTCCTGGTCCTCGGTAACATCTTCCGACAGGACTTCATCACATTCAAGACCCACCAGAGCCTCAAAAGCCACGTCCGAGGCAGACGTGTTTGCGCTTTTGTAGCTGCCGGAGGAGCGATTGTCACTTAGTGAATGCCGTCGCCTCTTCTCCGAAGTCCCAGTACGTATAGTAGAAGCCACGCAGCTCTTTTCCACACTACTGTCGTTCCCACAACGGAGCAAGGGCAGTGCTTTCAATTCTATGGACGTGGAAGGGACCTTTGCAGCTTGAGAGCACTTCAAGGAAGCCAGAAACTCGTCGGCAACCGTCAGCAAACTCTCGTGCACGGACACCGTGTTGGATTTCCTGCCCTCCGAGTCTGACTTCTCCTCCAAAGTAACTATCGTAGATTCCTGGGAAAGCCCACAACTCGTCGTGAGCTCCCTCCTCCCTCCCTCGATTCCACGGGACACAATTACCTTCTCAATGTTGGAAATCTTGCTCTGGATATCTGTGAGAACCTGGTTGCTCATAGGATGACTCGCGTGAAGGAGCTGCTTTGTATCTCTGAGCTCGCTCGCCAACTGCGTGACTCGATCTTCCAGCAACGAAAGCCTTGTGTGTAGCTCGACTGAGAAGAGACCACCTCCACCTTCCTGCTTGTGAGATTCTTCCTTCACTACTTCTCCTTGTAGTCCAGTCTCTGGAGAAAACTGCTTAGGCTCACCGCTGCTGCTCACAGTGCTACCAGTCTCCTCTTTCGTTGTGCTTCCCACACTCTCTGGCTTCACACACTTCCCTACTGGCGCTGGCTTCTTCCCCGAGGATGTCTGGCAGTGCACTGGAGCTGGAGAGATTGACCTTTCCTGTGGACCCTTTCCCGCCCGGAGCTTGAGCAAATCGATTGTCTTCTTCCCGGGCACCACTTTCTCCTGCGATGACGCCGCCTTCCCGGCGCGGAGCTTGAGCAGATCGATCGTCTTCCTCCCTGACCCTGGCTTCTGCGATTCGATGGGAGGGGGAGAAACCCCAATCAGCTCATCCGGATGAGGAGCAATCGCCTTGCCGCTCCCTCCGCCCCGCCCTTTCTTCCTCACGATCTGCTGCATTTCCAATCGCCTGGAGCGCGATTGGAATCTCGATCTATGCTAGGACACTACCTGCGTACCACAATGCCGATTCGGCCACCGCGGAGAAACCCTGGAGAGCCGATAGAACCCTAGAAAAGAGAATGTGGTACTAGCTGAGAAAATGGCGGGATAGCGTTTGTAAAGAAGCGGGAAAGTTAATGTCATCCAACGGCTGATATTCCCACACCTGGATGGACGGTGACCCGGACACGGCATATCCCTTTGTGTGATTAGAAATATTCGATCACTCGTTTTAAGTGACCACCTTCGCGACCTTGCGTGGTTCTCTTTGGTTCGTTAAAGGACATTGCATTTCTTGCCAGCTTACGGCAACCATTGTAGCACCTGGAAGAACACACAGAGAAAAAAAATCGAATCGCAAAACTTTTGGTAGAAACGAGGAAGAACTTTGGCATGCCAGCGACGCTCACAGCCGAAACTACGCCAAGTTCGTTCTTTGCAGTGGAAAGATAGTAAGCGCGAGAGTCTCCGAGCGAGATCTGGGAAAAAATCGAGAGAAAACGATCGATCGAACAGTGAAGTGACGAGTTTTAGTTACCACTTCCGCTCGAATGATGTCTCCAGGCCGGAACGAAGAATGCATGTCTACTTTGTCGATCTCAGTGAGCCTTACATCCTGTTGTCTTCGCAGAGAGAGAAAATAAAAACCATACAAGTTTGAAGAACATCACGAGAACTTGGAAAGAAATCCTGGTACCTGACTATGCCCGTGAATTTCTCCTTCACGGCCCTTGGCCCGACGCAAACGATATCCGCCGAAGCCATTCGTGCCTGGACTTTCGTGATCTACAATCGCAACAAGCAAAAGAAAAGAAATATCAAAGGAGTTCCATAAATTTCTACCTTGGCAGTGACTGTCGATCCAGCTTCTGGCACTGCGTCCCTCTCCTTCTCCCTGCGAATCTCGATCGTAGGCCTCTGGAAAGATCTCAGCAGAAATTTCTTCCAGCAAATTCGCCCATTACCAGATCATCCGAGCCTTGTTTCGCCTCGATCAAATGCCGGATCCCGACGAGCGAGGCGTAAATCTTACCGTCGTGGCAGTAGGAGCCTCTGCCGGCATTGAATTCGGACGCCAGGCCAAGCAGCTCGCCCGGCGTCCGGAGATCGTCTTCCCGCTTCGCCATAGCCACGAAGAACCCTAAACCCCTAGTTATTAACTACGGATAATAAACCAACATTAAAGGCCGAATTTTGCTGATAAAGACATGATAGAACCTCCTTAGAATGACTGACTGACAAGAACACAATGGGAGAAGAAGGGAATACCGATGGCGCTCGCGACGGCAGCTCGCGCGATCATCACCTCGCGAGGGGGAAGGGATTCTGGAATCCATGGCCATCGTTTGGATTCGAGGGGAATGCGCGAGAGGCGATCGTCATGATGCTCAGGGCAAGGCCGCCTTTCTTTTCTTTCAATCGATCGATCATTCTTTCCTCGTCTATTCCCCTCCAGGATTTCGATCGCAAGCGCTGCCAAGTGACCGCCGAGGTGCGCGCGAGATTGGGACTGCGGCCGCTCAGCACAGATCTGGCGAGCATTCGCAGCCCGCCAGAGGAATCGGCCCAGGTATTTCTTGGCAGGATTTGGGAGCCAAGAAGCGTGATTTCTTGGGAAATTTTCTATGGCAGGTGACATGGATCGGCCACGCGACATTCCTCGTCCAGTTCGATCGTCTCAACATCCTCACGGATCCAGGTGAGCTGCGATTTCGCTGCTCTTGCCAGAGATTTAACCCAGCGAGAGTTTTCCAGTGTGGTCGGAGCGCTGCTCTCCCTCGAGCATCATTGGGCCGAAACGGTAGTAACAAATTTCTTTGTCCTTCTTTACCTTGTGTGGTGTTGCAGTGTGATGCCTGTTCCGTTCCCAATAAAGGAGCTACCTCCCATCGACGTGGTCATTATATCTCACAACCATTACGGTACTCTCGAACATCTCGATCGATTTGTTTCTTTTCCTAGCGTTCTCAAGCGAACTTCTTTGAACAGACCATCTAGACGAGACAACCGTCAGAGCTCTAGGAAACACGCCTCTCTATCTTGTCCCGCTCGGAATAAAAAAATGGTAAGATCTAGCTTGCGTGTAAAGAAATAGTTTTTTTTCTCAGTGATGGTTTACTGTTGTGACCAGGTTTAACGGAATCGGAATCACAAACGTGGTATGTTTCTCGATCGTTTGTAATTCTCGGGATCCTCTCGTTTGATCATCACAGGTGGAATTGGACTGGTGGGAAGAACATAAAATACCGTACAGCGGTTCTAAAGTTCTCAAGGCGGTATGCACGCCTTGCCAACATTTTTCTGGTCGTGGTATATTTGATCGAAACAAGGTTAGAAAGAACTTAAGTCAGAGCTTTGTAATTATCCTGTTCACCCGTTGCAATGCAGACGCTCTGGTGTTCTTGGGTCATGGAAGCAGACAAGAGGAAGTTCTACTTCGCCGGTGATACGGGGTTTTGCACTGTTCCTCGGCATAGCGACCACAATGGTGGCGTTCCAGAAACAGGCACAGGAGGTGGCTAAGTTCTTTCTTTATATTCTTTTCCTCTGTAACGTGCGCTGACTTGACATTGCAGCTCAATTGTCTGTTTGTCCCGCATTTGAAGAGATTGGAAAACGCTATGGACCGTTTGACTTCGCATTCATTCCAATCGGAGCTTACAGCCCTCGCTACTTCATGAGTCCTATCCACTGCTCTCCAGGTAAATCACCAACCAGGATCCGATTGCATATATGTCTTATATATCGATCAACGTTGACAGAGGATGCCGTGGCCATCCACCGAATCGTCAGATCCAAGCTATCAATTGCGATGCACTGGGGTCAGTCTTTTCCGATTCTTCTTTTTATTTTCTTTGGCCTGTTGTGAATTAAACTTGATCGCAGGAACGTTTGTTCTGACGGACGAGCCGCTGCTGGAACCGCCTGCGAGATTGCAGAAGGTCTGTTTCGTGTGAAGTTCTTTTCTCATGTCGTCGGTCTGTTCTGTCCAGGAGCTGGAGAGGTTGAAGATAGACGCGTCCGCATTTATCACAATGAAGCACGGCGAGACAAAGTGTATATGAAGTGAATGCCACCTTACAAAGTACTACTGATTCGGTGAGCCGCTCTTTATGATTCTATTTCATACGATTTGTATTAGGTGGATAAGTTTCCCGTGAAGCTCTTTACAGTGAGGCGTTACAGGCGCTTGACTTTAGATTCGTGAGAGACATCTATGGGACTAGTTTGTCTCCGGATTCGGTGAACTACTTCTATCATTAAGTCTGGAGATTTTCATTTGGAGCTCTCTACTAGTGAACTATCTGCAGTGAGTATGATTTACGCGATCCTTCTCTCGTGTGCCATCATCTCCTCGTTCACGACGATTTCTCAGGTACCACTTTCCCTCTCTTAACTTCCAAGTTCTCGAATCGTCTCTTTTCCAGGCATGCTCGAAGAAGACCATCATCTTCTACGGACAAAACGTACGCTACCCAGCAAACTCGTCCCAAACCTCCGGGCAGCAAACACTGGGAGGAGGATGCCTCGACCTCCCTCCTTACAACCCCGGCTACGCCTCGCTTCTCAGGCAAAAGCTCACGCTTGGGCCGGAGTATAACTCCCCCCAAGTTGGAATGGACTACGGCGGCTACGTTGCGAGCGGAGCCAGCGTCGCGTTTGGAACCGGCCAGTTTGTTCTCGACAACCATCCTTTGTTCGTGGGGACTCTTGCCTACAAGAGGCGAAGGGACATCTCGGAGAAAACCATAGCTTTCTCCGTCCGGGTTTATGGCAACGAGAGCTTCCATGGATTTGGAAATGGTACCAGCGTCACTGTTGCTTCGTACTACTATGGTCTCAACCTCGTCTTTAGATTTGTGATAGATATCTTTAGAAGCGAGTCGTGCATCCTCTAAACAAAAATGCTTTGTTACCTCTCGTTAGAACTTACTTGGTGGAAAGCATAAAGTGTAAACGACTGATTTTTTATATGATCTTCGCTTTGTGTGTCACAACTTGAAATCTTGCAAAGAATATAAGCGTGAGCCATTGATGATTTTCAAATTTATTGGAGTCCCCTTTGTTCTTGAGTTTTGTTACCCAGAAACCTGGAAGAGTAAGTTAAGAAAATCTGGAAAGAGAGACAAATAAAACTTGTACCTATCAGCATTTTCTTGCTCAATCCTTGTCTCGTTTTCTGTTCTTTCTCCTTCAAACGAGCCGTGATATTTGTTCTTGAGTTTTGTTTCCCAAAATCCTGCAAGACTAAGTTAAAAAAAATTCTGGAAAGCCTTGCTATAAACCTGTTCGTCTTGTCAGGAAGGATTTTCTTGCTCGATCCTTGTCTCTTTTCGTGTTCTTTCTCCTTCAAACGAGCCGTGATATTTTTCGCTTTCTCATCCCAGAGCCTGCAAATGCGTTTCTCTCAATCCAAAACCTTCCAAGAAACAAATCAGTCCACTAAGTAGCACACACTTTGTGCACGAACTGACCAAAAAAACCTCACTCGACATAAAGCCTGTGACCACGAGAAAACTTTTAACTTACTTTCCACGACGGACGTGTGAAGCTCCCGAAACAAGTACTCCAAACGCATGCCTATCAGTAACAAAAGCATTCCTCACCTAAGAAATCCCAAGCGCCATTTAAGTCTCCAAAATCCACGTACCTGGTCTGTGGGAAGCAATGGAGCTCAGCTCGTACCAACTCTTCTTTCTCGCAACCGGTTTCTTCCTCATGCTCGTCTCCGTCGAATCCCAGTCCCAATCCGAGAGCGCGACTTGCAAGGAGCAAGAGATGCTCCTCCTCGTCAACTTCAAGGCCGGCTTCACTGACAGCCAAAACATGCTGGTACACTGGAATCAGAACAACACAAACTGCTGCAAATGGAATGGAATTACCTGCGATAGGTACGTACTTCCTTTTCCCCAGTAGAAAAGATATAACCATCGTCTCACCACCTCGCGGTTCTCAAACAGCCACGGGAACGTTATTTCCATCGACTGGGGCTTCTCCAACTACAACATCGCGGCCAAGTCGAGAGCTCGCGTAAATGTATTCGTGACGTACCTTCCACAGCTGGAGTACCTTCGTTATCTCGATCTCTCCACGGTCCAGCTCTCCATGGCCATTCCTCCGGAGATAGGCTCCATGATGGGTCTCGAGGCTCTTTCGCTGGCGGGGAGCTCACTTATGGGACAGTTGCCGACGAACATCAGCAACCTCGTTAGCCTGCGGCATTTGGACCTGTCGAGCAATCCCCTCGGCATAAGAATCCCCACAAGCTTGTGTGACTTACAGAACCTTGAGCACCTCTCGCTCAATCACTCCCAGTTTCACGGTGCCGTTCCGCAGTGCTTCGGCACCGCAATGCCGAACCTGACGTTCCTGGATATGTCAGCCAACAATCTCTTAGGAGTGCCATCGTTTGCAAACTTGACGCAGCTGAAGTACCTGAACTTGAGCAGCAACATCTTCAGCAGCAAACTCCTGAGAAGTATCTGCGACGCCACCAGTCTCGAGCAGCTCGACTTGTCCAGGTCCATGAGCTTGAGTGCCACACTTCCAGACTGCTTCTTCGATCTCACCGCGCTCAAGTATCTGGACCTGTCAGGAAACATGCTCATGGGCTCAATATCGGACTCCATTGGAAACTTCAAACGTCTCACTTACCTCAGTCTCGACGGGAATCAGTTCACCGGTGGAATACCGTATGGAATCAGCGACCTTTCCAGTCTCGTCATTCTTGACATGGTGGACATGTTTGACGAAAATGCAAGAACTTCCATCCCTTCGTTTCTTGGAGAGCTCACCAATCTTCGAGTTCTTCGGCTCAGTGGTCGTGCATGGCGAGGTGCCATTCCCAGCAGTAGCATCCAGAACCTCACCAGCCTGCAGGAGATGATAATTACGACCGCACCTTATATTAATGGGCCGCTTCCTTCCGAGCTTGCTGGTCTCACCACCTTACAGACGCTGATAATCACCGGTACAACTGTCTGGGGTAGCATTCCCTCCGAGCTCGGGAACCTTCCGCAGCTGCGAGTTCTCGACCTCTCAAGCAACATGCTGTCAGGTAGCATTCCTCGGAACCTTGGGAGACTTCAGACGCTTCGGGAGCTCCAACTGGCATCAAACAATCTTAGTGGAAGCATTCCCTGGGAGCTTGGAAGTATTCGCAGAGCTTACCTTGTGAACCTGTCAAACAACTCTTTGTCCGGCCAGATTCCCGACTCGCTGGCAAACATCGCCCCATCAGGAAGTATTGATCTCTCCAACAATCTCTTCACGGGCAGATTCCCAACAGCTCTCTGCCGCCTGGAGAACGTGAAGCTTAGTAACAACAAGCTTGAAGTACTTGACGGATGGCCATCAATGACTGAAAGGCTCGAGGTGTTGGACATCTCCAACAACAATCTCAGCGGGCCGATACCAAGCTGGCTGTCTCAGCAAAGTGCCTTGGACACGCTGGATTTGTCGCAGAACAACCTCTCTGGAGACGTTCCATCCTGGATAAGCACAGCGACGCGGTTAACGTCACTTAATCTGTCACACAACCAGCTTACCAACGAGCTCCAGTATCTGCCGATGATCAACAGCGTCGACTTGCATGCCAACCAGCTCAACGGGTCCTTCACCTTCGACTTCTATCCCGACTCTCTCGAGCGTAGCTTTCTCTTCTATTTGGACTTGTCGGAGAATCAGCTGTCTGGAGCCTTGCCCGCTAGCCTTCCAACGACGACGGGAAGTCACGAGGTATACTCGTATCTTTCCTTTCTGTCGCTCGCCAGCAACAGTCTAACCGGAACTATTCCTTCCGCCTTGTGGTCGAACCTGTCGAGCCTCACTGCTGTAGACTTCTCCAACAATCACTTCTCCGGAGAAATCCCGACGGAGCTAGCAGGCCTGGTAGGACTGACGAGTCTCAACCTGTCTCGCAATGATCTCTCCGGAGAAATCCCAACGAGCATCTCCAACGGCAACGCACTCCAGCTGATTGATCTCAGCAGGAACACACTGAACGGGACGATCCCTCCGGAGATTGGTGACCTGTATATGCTCGAGATGCTGGATCTCTCGTACAACCAACTTTCCGGAAGCATCCCGACCGCACTGGACGACCTTCTCTCGCTCGCGGCTTTTAACGTGTCGGCCAACAATCTCACCGGAGCTATTCCTCAAGCCGGGGGCATCCACAAGTTCCCAGCTTCCAGCTTTGCCATGAATCCTGGCCTGTGTGGAACACCTCTGCCACCCTGTTAGGCGTACTGGAAGTGTCGGTCGCCTACTAAAAGTCCCTCCATGTCATAAGTCGAGCATTCTTTACCTGCACGTAATCCACGCATCGTTTCAGATTATATAAAGTTCCCCCACGTACCTGGTGTGTTCTTCACCGTAATAAATTGCTGTGCCCAGGATGAAAGGGACTCCAGGTTGCCACAAGATGCTTGGCCGACTCATTCTCCTGCTCGCTCTTTTCACCACCGTGTCACAATCTTGCGACCCCGAGGATGCTCGAGCACTTATAAGTTTTAAGTCCGGTTTCGTCGACACTGCTGCCTCCCTGTTCTCGTGGAATAACGTCACTGACTGCTGCGGATGGAGCTGGATTACGTGCAACAGGTAACCTTCGAACTTTATTTCTCTGTCCTTCTGAAGTCCCGTTTCTCTGTAGTGCTGGACGTGTCAACACCCTCAACTTAAGCTCTATAGCCATGTTCTTGAGCAACCAGCAAGGCCTGTCCGTCATCGCAAACACCATACCGCAGCTCACACAACTGGAATCCCTGGACCTGTCCAACCTCAACGTCTCCAGTCCGATTCCCCAAGCCTTGAGTTCCCTGCCCAACCTCAAGCTTCTCGCTATGAGCAACTGCAGCCTCTTCGGCCAAGTAGCAAGCTCTCTCTCCGAGCTTCCTCCCGGTCTGACGTACCTCGACATCTCGTACAACCTCTTCGACGATGGCGATCCGGAAAGCATCACCACGCTCTGCAACCTCCGCAGCCTCGAGCACCTCTTCATGGCGGGACTCCCCGGCTTGATGCCCTTCATCCCGTCGTGCATATCCCAGTTGTCCAACCTCACCACGCTGGACTTCTCCTCCAATTCCCTCTCGCAGAGTTTCCCCCAGGAGCTGTCCAACCTCACGAAGATCACACGCCTGGACCTCAGCAACAACTACTTCTGGGGAAGCCTCGAGCCGCTATGCTCTTTGAGTGAAGTAACTTACGTCAACCTGGAGCTCGGCTTTGATCCCACGAACAGCACCACCACTGCTGCTAGTCTGCCCGACTGCATTGGAAACCTCTCCAAGCTCACGGAGCTCCGCCTCTCAAACTGTTACCTCGTCGGGGAGATCCCATCTTCAATCGGCCAGCTTTCACAGCTTCGCTACCTCGGCCTGGACGGCAACTCCTTCACGACCAGGATCCCGGACTCTCTCGGCAACCTCACGAACTTGGAAACTCTTGTTCTCAACAGGGACTCCACCGGCGGCGGCTCCATCTACGGTGACATCCCGGACTCTCTCGGCAACCTCGTCAACCTCAAGGACTTCGAGCTCTCCAGCGCTCAAGGCGTCACCGGACAGATCCCCGAGAGCTTCCAAAACTTTGAGAGCATCGAGACGCTCGTCCTTAGCAACCTTGGCATCGGTGGCCGGATTCGCGAGAGCCTCTTCCAGAGATTCTCCAAGCTCGAGTTCCTGGACCTGTCCCAGAATTTTCTCATCGGCGCGATACCATCGTCGCTAGGCGCCATGGCTTCCCTCGAGGAGATCTATCTCTACAGCAACAACCTCAACGGCTCCATCCCCGACGCCATCGCCAATCTCACCCGCCTCGCGACGCTGGATCTCTCCAGCAATCACCTCGATGGCCAAATCCCCGGCCCAGCGATCGCGCAGCTCACGGGGTTGCAAGTGATGGATCTCTCCGCGAACGATCTCACCGGAAATATTCCATCGGAGCTCGCGGATCTCGGCCAGCTCGCGACGCTCGATCTGTCCTGGAACCAGCTCTCCGGAGTGATCCCGCCCGAAATCCACGATCTCTCATCGCTGGAGTACTTCAGCGTCGCGAACAACAATCTCTCCGGCCCCATCCCGGCGGAGCTCGGGAGCTTCGATGCCTCGTCCTTCGAGGACAATGCCGGACTGTGTGGATTCCCGCTAGATCCGTGCTCCAGCTAGAGATGATCCCGGCCAGAGATGGAGAATAACCAGCATAGCATCGGCGCTTACCGCTCGCTCAGCGCTTCTTTCTTCCAAGAACCCTAGAAATAGAATCAATCCTTGTCCGCCGCCTAAAACATTTTTGCTCTGCGACTCCTCCATAATCTTTGATGCATACATTTCGTGGATGAAGGCATAGCGTGCGATCAATCGCCCTAAAGCCTCTGCCTTCGTACTAGCATTGGAGAATCAGGCGCATTATAGTGATGCTATATTTCAAAAGAGGAGCTTATATAGACCAACAAGATGATCCATCACTTCTGGAGCATGGAGTATGGAGGTTATAGTTTGAAGATTGCATGGAGCGTGGAGTAGGACATCGAAGGCCAAGATCAGGAAGACATGGACGACGTCATGACAATGGCAATCTTCTAGCATTTTAAAATCTTTTGGTCTCATGCTTTATAGTGAACACTCCAAGACCGTAAACAGTATATGAGCTTTTGCAAGACCATAAACAGTATATGAATGAATGAATATAGTGCTCACAATGGATTGATTCAAGTATGTTGCCTCAATTATCTGAAACTTGATGGATGTCTGTCTCTAATAAATACGATAATCTTTCTTTTATAGTGGTTTAGACAAAACTCAATCAGCCAGATGCATTGTACATTATGATGGTGATGGCTTCAGTGAAGCCAAAGAATTAACTTAGAAAAGCCTAGTATAATTCAAACATTACCATGATCCACTCACTTTCTCACTTTCTGCTCAAAAGATCTTTGATCTTAGGTTTGCTACTCAAAATATCTGTAGCATACATGGCAAACTGCTGCTGAAAAACCTCTATTAACTATTACGACTTATCGTTATCACCACCCATGTAGGAATCAAAAGACTGCAACCTTCTCACGGGCAGCCCTAGTGGTTGCGTAGAGCTCATTCCTAACAGGTGTTGAGAAACTTCTAGAGATGCCTTCGACGTGGAGCAGCCTCGGCCTCCAAGAAGCATTTGAAATACAAGAGTCACCCTGAAGTCATTCCTCAGGGTTTGGCTGTGATATCTTCATTGAAACCTCAGGCAGCAGCTTGCTTGCTCTATTGCTTGGCTCACATTCATCTCCCTGTTTACTGTTCACTCTCGGCTAGAGAAATTTCTTCTGTAGTGTGTAGATTTGATACAAGCGCGACAATGGCATCTGCGCTTCTCTCATCATCGTCTTCGTCTGCAGTCGTGTTGAAGCAGCAGCATCTGGTTCTGTCCAGGCATGGATCCAGTTCCATTGTCTCGTACAGAAGGATTCACCCTCTTGTGTGCAGAGCAACCAAGGTAAAACCAAAGGAGTCTTTGGGCACTTGTTCTAAACATCAGCCTGGCCTTTTGCTTTTGTTTTTCGCAGGAAGGAGATTCAGATCAGGCAGCAGCAACATCACCAGTTGAGAAGAAGGTTGCAGCAGCAAGTCCTGTGACTCCAATCCAGACTCCTCCTCAGCCGAAGAAGCCTGAGGTACTACATCTGCTTCTCTAGAACGGCCATTGCTTAGAATCCTTCTTCATGGTTGTCTTTTGTCTTTTGTTGGTTGTCCCGCATTTTGTTCTTATTTGCCTCGGACTTCTCTCATTCTCTCAGGTTTGCAGGCTCCAGATCCATAAATCATTTCCCTCTTCATTTCTATAGATTCATCTGCTTTGCTCTTCAGATCTCAAAGCTAAGATTCCTTTGTTGGTTTCGTCTTTCAGGCAAGCTTCTCGGACCTGTTTGCGTTCTCTGGACCAGTGCCTGAGGCAGTAAATGGAAGACTGGCCATGCTCGGCTTCACCGCCGCCCTCGGTGTTGAGCTTGCTTCCGGGAGGGGCTTGCTTGGCCAACTCGACAATGGTGGAAGCAGCTATTTCGTTGGAGCAGCCTTGCTCTTCACGCTGGCTTCGTTGGTGCCTCTCTTCCAAGGAGTGAGTATCGAGAAAGCTTCTGGTGGCATTGGAGGAGTCTTCACTTCCAAAGCTGAGAGATGGAACGGTAGAGCGGCCATGCTTGGACTTGTGGCCTTGGGCATCACGGAGTTTGTCAAAGGAAGCCCCCTTATATAAGAAACCTCTTCGCTATGTAGATGAGATGAGCTCTCACAGAAATCACATGATTAAATGAGAGGGAATTTTATTCAAGACCTGGCTTCTGTATAAAGTATGGATCAAACAAGTCTGCATGGCCTGCACAAAATCACTTGCCAGTCTACCAAATCAAATCAAGGAATGCAACTTCAACACAGCCCCTAATTCTTGCTACTCCAGCTAGTCTTGTAAACTTTTTCAGTGCTATGGAAGTCCACGATGGCGTACCTATGAATCAATATGGACCACGAGCCACAAGTGAAGCAGATCCACCGTGAACATAACAACCATAGACTGGTGAGTCGTCGTGGAGCCATACGAGGATGGGAAGCTCTACTTGGAGATGGAGAAGTGTGAAAACTCCTCCTCAAGTCTAAAATTTCACACATGCATAGTTATGCCTCAATAGAGTTATAGTTGCAGGTGGAGATCTTGCGATCTTTAATGATGAATTGAACACCTTCTTTGTTCTTGAACGTCTGAAAGCCCACCTGTAGTGTGGATGATAAAATACATCCTCTCATATTTGAGATTGAACACTTATCCTAGAGCAGCAGTTGAGGTTGGGGCTGGCACAAACGCGTTAATTACAACCTGCTTAAAGCATTCATGTCCCAAAATATGAACAAGATCAGTTGATCATCAAAAGCTCGACTCGGCATGCCTTAATCCCATGCCAAAGCCGAACCCATGCCTGCTTAATCACTAAATAGTAAGCTTGGAAATGGGAAATGGAGAGAGCGCAATCCCTGGGTCTCATCGATACTTGCACCACTTTGCCTGCTGCCAGAAGAATCCACGCTCGCATTCTAACCTCCTTCCCAGGCGATATCTTCATCCACAACAGGCTGATCGAAATGTACACAAAATTGGGGAGCCTGGACGATGCGACAAAGACTTTCGAGGAATCGCAACGCAAGAATCTATTCTCTTTCGTGCTCATGCTCTCAGCTTATGCGCGCGCCGGGCAGCTCAATCGCGCTAAATCCCTCTTTGACGCCATGCCGGCGTGGAATCTAGTCGCATGGAATGCGATGCTAACTGCATATACCCGTTCTGGGCAACTGGTGTATGCTAGGTCTGTATTTTCAAATATGCCGGATAAAAGTATTATTTCTTGGAACACTATGTTAGCACTGTACTCACTGACCGGGGAAATCGACGTTGCCACCGAGACCTTTCTACAAATGCCTTTGAGAGACTTTATCTCGTGGACAACGATGCTTTCTGCATATACGCAAACTGGGTATTTTGAAGAAGCGGAAATTCTGCTGGACGAGATGCCGCAGCATTCTTTTAACTTGTGGGTATCTGTCCTTTCTTCTTATGCTAAACACAAATTAATTAAAAAAGCGAAGAATGTTTTTTCAAGAATGCCGTATAGAAATCTTATTGCTTGTAATGTAATGGTCCTTGCATATGCCCAAAACGGGGATTTTGATGAAGCTTTTAGTTTTGTAGAAAGTTGCATGCCTGAGAGGGATTTGGTGACATGGACGTCCTTGCTTGCAGCATTGGCACAATACGGTCATGTGGAAGATGCCAAGCGTGTGTTTGATTCGTTCCCAGGACAAGATTCCATCTCGTGGACCGCAATGCTGACGGCATATGCCCAGAACGGGTATCTCGAAGATGCGAAGCGAATGTTTCGTGACATGCCTGAACTGAATCTCGTGTCGTGCAACTCTATGATGGTGGCTTTTGCTGAAAATGGGGAAATTGACTCTGCAAAAGATGTTTTTAATAGCATGCCAAAACATGATGTCATCTCTTGGACGTCTATGATGGTTGCTTATACGCAGAATGGTTTCTTAGAAGAGGCGAGAGAAACATTTGATCGCATTCCTGTGAAGAACTTAGTTTCTTACAATGCCATCCTCTCTGCATATGCCCAATCAGGGAATATCCAAGATGCTAGAAGAATCTACGCTGTAATGCCTCAACACACAGTCACGTCCTGGACGTCTATGATCACCGCATTTGCTCAAAATGGTCTTTTGGAAGAAGCAAAGCATGTTTATGACCAAATGGGCCAAAGGGATCTCATTGCAATGGCTTCGATGCTTTCGGCATATGCTCAAAATGGACACATTGTCGAAGCCAAGAGATTCTATGATAGTTTTCCAGAATGGAACATGGTATCAACTAACACGATGCTTTCGGCATATGCCCAGCATGGCTATCTAGATCAAGCACTTGTTGTCTTTGACAATATGCCCCAGAGAGACGAAGCTACTTGGAATGCAATCCTGGCAACTTATACTCAGAACGGACATCTTTCAGATGCCAAGAGAATCTTTCACTCCATGCCTAGCCACAATATCATCTCGTGGAATACCATTTTAGCTGGTTTTGTGGAAAGTGGACAGCCAGCAATGGTGAAAAAGCTTTTCAATGAGATGCGATCAACAATTCATCCGGACAAGGCTTGCTTTGCCATGGTCCTCATTGCCAGCAGCCAAGATGGCAAAGTTAACAAGGGGATCCAAAACTTTAGAAGCATGGTTTACGACTATGGAATCCAACCTTCGAAGCAGCACTATTGCTGCATGGTTGATATCCTTTCAAGAGCTCGGCATTTGGATGTGGCAATGGAGCTAATTGAGAGCATGCCTTTTGTTGCTGATGGAGTGGATTGGATGTGCTTTCTTTCAGCTTGCGGGCGTCAAGCGCATGGTCATGCTGGCTTGAGTGTGGCAAGGCATGCAGTTGAGAAAGACGAGAAAAAAGCAGCGTTTTACGTGTCAGTGGCAAACATCTACTCAGAGCTTTGACGTTAATGAAGGATCGCAAGGGAGAAATATACTCGCTGAGAGAAGTCTCTGAACCGCTTTGTTTGTTGTGATCGATTTCATGCAGGGCTTGAAGCTGGAGCAGGAGATGCTGGATCACCCGTTGCTTCAAAAGGCAGAGTATGATTGTCAACGTCTCCGTTCCTGTCGTGGCTTAAACTTGAGGATCAACCATGCAATCGGAAAGGTGATAAGCATGATCCAGGAGCTAAAAGAGGAGTTTAAGCATAAAAAGAGGGAGATACTGTTGTCCGAAGAAGGCCTCAGAGGCACGAATGGTGTTATGGAGTACCTGGCGGGAATAGAGACATTCATGACTGGAAACATAGAAATGGTCGTGGCAGCACGGCCATGGGTTGGATACCTCCACTGATAAACTCCGCCAACTTTTCCCTTGAATAATTGAGTGTGATATCGTGCCTGCTCTGAAAATGAAGAAACTCCCACAAAGCCATAAACATGAAATCTCAGCTTGAGAACCTGTAAAATGGTTGGGATAATGAGAATATAACTCAAAAGGGATAGAACGAAACTCCCTACACTTGAATATTGTGGATGCATCCTCTCAGCTCCTAAAAAAGTGGAGCAAGCATTGCATTATGTTGTTCATGCATGATTTCACTCTTGTATGCTTCAAAAAAAGAAAACATCTACATACTAGAATGCATAAAAGTATCCCTTTTCTTCAGTGCAGGATCATGGGAAAAATAAAGACTCCAAAACAATAAAGGAGTCACAAGATTATCTTCATATAATTGAAGTTAGTATTCATGAATTGAAGACTTAAATTAATGACTTTGGGAGGTCAAATACAAATGAGGACATGAGTCTTTGAAATGGTAGCCAAAGTTATCTTTAATAAATGTTGGAACAAACCCAAGGAGTTGGGGGTGTACTTATTCTCATTATGTTTTAAGGGGCAAAGGTAACCCATAAAAAATGAAAAATAATGAAGAGTCAGGATAACATTTGTAAAGATGGTCTTTGTGAGTAGAACATAAATACAAGAAGTTATATTCCAATGAATTGATACCTCAAAAATAGCCAAGAGTTTAAAACCTTATAGGTAGTCAAATTGGCAAAGTCCAAAAAGCTGGATAACTCAAATAAAGTCAAAAATTGATCCTAAAGGACTAATGAAAGCATTTAGACTAAAGTGTGTTGCACCTTACAAAGAATGGGAAGGATCATAAAATCTAAGTATAAGAATAATGAGTATCTCATTGATGGCAGAATATGCTATACTAAAGTTGTGGGAAAGATGTTCCTAGAACAAAACAACTTTAGTACAGAATTATGTATAAACACTATAGTGCAATACTAACTAATAGTTGGTATGAGAAATGATTACTTTGGTTTTGACAAAAACTTAGTGGAAAGTGTTGTAAGGATAAGCTTATAGAATTGATAGTGTGGAGACACTAAATGTGCCAAAATGTGATGTTTTGAAGTTTAGTTAATAGATTCATGAGAATCCTTTGCCAAAGGAACCCTAATAAAAATGAGAATGACATAGTCTAAGCTAAAAAATATACAGTTAGAGTGTGGTGACCCAAATAATGATGGAGGTGTGGAAACACTAGCAATGAGTTATAAAACTTGACAACTATAAGGCAACTAAGCAAAATATGCAATATAATTAATTGGATTGGTAAAAGTTAACTACCTAAAACTTCTTATTAGGATAAAAAAGTTAGATATATCCCTCGAGGGGATAAATTGTTTATGTTGCGATATAATAAAACAATGTCATAAAGGGAAATGCTCATTATTAAAGAATGCCATTATTGGGACAACTAAACACTTTAAAATACCAGAAAGTGGTGTTTGATATCATAAGGGCATTAGATAAGGACTAAGAAACTAAGTCTCTAACAAATAATAAATAGGAGGTGTTATCCAATGTTTAAGGTTGTGGAGACGAAATAAGTCCATTTATCTAAATTGGACAAAACCAAAAAAGATTTTAGCAAGGTTAGTAACGAGCATATAAAGGCCCATAAGTAGTAATGTTAATCCTGGTGTGTGGGATTATAAAGTGAGCATATCTAAATTGAAAAACCACTCCCTAGGCTATTGGGTAGGTTCAACCTTAAAAATATTTACTAAGGCATGGTAAAAAGTGCAAAGTTATCCTTTTAGCCTGGAAAAGAATAACTGAAAGAAATATGTGATACCAAAAGCAAGTAATAAACAGAAAGAACCAAACCATAAAAAGCAAAAAGCAAAGCCAAAGATGGTTATGCAAGTTGAGAGTGGAGAATTAAATGGGTGCTCAAAAGTGCTACTACTGGCAATTATGATGCCATGGAAGGTCTAAAATATAGAATTGTCTATATTAGACCATATGACAATTAAAACACTTGCAAAAGGAAAGGCTTTAACAAATTAAGAAACAAAGTCCTTTCAAGGTTCCCAAAAGCAATTCTATGTAAGTTAGTGTTTAAAAAGACAAATGTAAATAATTTATAGAACACACAAAATTAGAGTGGCACAACAGAAGTGTGATCTTGAAGCTTGCCATAAAGCGAAGCTATCAAGGTTGGGAAAGTAGTTCTTAAGTGTTTAATGAGATGGGTTTGAACAAAAGTCGATGGTTAAGGATTTTCATGCTTATACATAAAACCATGTTACACTGGTCGGATAACTTGCTAAACAAGATTGGCAAGTCGGGGGACCTATGGAATGATATTTCATTTCACTTAAATCTTAACAACAACAATGTTAATGATAAAGTATCACTTCAATGCCATCAACATTAAAACAAAGCTAAAAGAAAGCAAGAGTGAATCACTACTCAAAGCTCTTTAACAACCAAGTTAACCAAAGTTAAAAATACATTAGTCAATATTTGACACTAATCCTTCAACAATACTTAGTTACAGATAACATATCATCAAGGAATGATTCACCACTTCCAAAACTTAATGTAATTTAATACACAGACTAAATGCAATCAAATAATATTGACAAAGGTAGAGTTGCTATATCAACATAAAAAAACCATATAAATTTAATAACATGATCCTTTGCAACACCATCCAGTAAATAAGCCCACTGATAAATCTTTATCAAACAAAGTAAGTGTTAAAAGTCATTGACAAAGTCTATAAATAATCACTAGTTGCAAAGCACTCTTTCAACTTATTTTTATAAGACCTTAACACTAAACTGATGCAAAGGATATAAAATTGGTTCTTTGCCACCAGATCCAATGGTTCTGCATGCCAATCCGTAGAAGTCCCGTAGGACACAGATCTCAGCACCACTATGCGCAATCAAGTGGTACCAGCGCTAGCATGATAGCAGCAGTGGCCATGCAGGCTTTTGAGCAGCTCAACTCTGCCAACCTGGAAGACTGGTCTGATGTGTTCCATGACAAATGCCACATGAGAGCTAGCAGGCATCTTGTAGTGCAAATGCCGCAGCCAGCAGTCATTCACTAGTGGCAAAAGTCTATCATCATAAGAGAAATATGGCAAACCTATAAGCCACCAATACTCGTGTGTCCTGCAAAGTCCTAAGGTATCAGGACTTTGTGGGACTCCAACGTACTAGGCATTTTGTAGTTAAGGAAGGTAAGCTTGCACCTGCTATAAAAGTTATGCCTTGGACACACTGCTGCACCAGCAATGGATGCGATTCATTCTGAATCTCTTCATGACTGCAATCAATTAAGCAGCAGTAGAGTTGTTCAATCTGCCTTCCATGTCATTCGGCCTCAGCACGTTCTACCACCTTCACCTCATTTTCTCTCAAACCTTGATCTTTGCTACAGCAAGCCTGAATTCTGCGCACTTGTGCTCTTCTTCAGGGATTGCTTCGTCCCTGCCACAGGAGCCAAGAGTTTTCTAGACAGGCTCAGGTCTTCACTGTCCAAGGTGCTAGTCTTCTATCCTGTTCTCGCTGGAAGGCTCAGGGAAAGCGGGAGTGGAAGGCTCGAGGTAAACATGAACGGCCAAGGTGTCCACTTTGTGGAGTCAAAGGTGGACGCAAGCTTCCAAGATTGGCAAGACATACGCCAGTGCCCACTAGACATAGATTTATCGCTCGACACCGCTGTTGTCAATCCCAGCGATGTTCCTGTTATCAAGTTCCAAGTGACACAGTTTCGCTGCGGGGGCATTGCCATAGCAGTTCATTTCTTGCACATTGTCCTGGACGGCTCCAGCCTCTACAGCTTCCTCAACGCATGGACTCAAGTTCACCGTGGAAGCACAATATTTTGTGAGAGCTTTCCAAGAGAACGGGTGCCCTTGGCTAGGGATCCTCCAATCATTGACGCTGCTGCACCCGACAAGCAAATCGATGCAAGCAACAACACGCCCTGCAATCTGGTGACACTTCGAATGGAGCAAACCGCAATAGATGCTTGCAAGCGCGAATCTCAACCGGCACCTTTGCCTACAACGGTGGAAAAGCTACGGGCTTTGAGGCAGTGTTGTCGATGCTATGGTCGTCTATGCTACGTGCACAGGGAGTTCCGCATTACCTTGACACGTCTCTCTCGTTCCCTGTCAACTTGCGCGGCCCGAAACTAGCACTCGTCCCCCAAAACTATTTCGGCAATGCCATTGCCATTTGCCAGGTTCATGCGCCTCGAGCTGGTGACATAGTTGCTTCGGACTTATCGTATGCTGCGAATCTCATACACAAAGCCAAGACCTCCTGCAATGGAGCATCCGTTCAGAGCATGCTGGACTGGCTGGAGCTCAATCCTGCTCATCATCACAACCAGGAGCTTCACTGGAGGCGGGGAATTACATCCACGACCATCACCAATTTCCCCATGTATGGTATCGACTTTGGGTGGCGAGGAGGAACACTCTCCCAGCTTTCCTTTCTGCCGAGCAAAGTTCCACCCTACATGCCATCTGTATGTGGAATGCTGCCCTCGCCAAGACCCAAGTCAATAGAGATTGTCATTGGGCTGCATCACCAGGGCCGAGAAGTGCTGTTACAGGACCATCTCTTCACACGTTATTTCTCAGCGTCCGAGATTAAACTCTGGACTGGAGAAAGCATATGTAGAGCTTTGAGGAGAGTCCCAAAATAGTTTTCACTCCCATAAAAAATGCCCCATTCTTAAATCCTTTGTAGCCTCCTCCTTCTGCTGGAACACGGGCTCATTGAGAGGCTGCCCGGCGAAGATCGCGCCAACGTACAAGATTTGTACAAATCGTTTCACACCATGACACTGTCTCCGTGGCTCAGCTCCACCGTCGTGTGAGCCTAGATCGGGGATGTGCCTTTGCTTTCAAAGTTAGCCTGCCTTCTCCAGAGTATAAGTGAAGAAGTTGAAGGAAACTGGCATCCGGTTGCATGTTTAAAGTTACGTTGTGGTACATGGTTGGAGTGCGAGTGTAGACTGTTGAAGAGAGGCCCAGTGATTCTCCAGCTATGACTTTGACACTGGTGCCATCTTTCTCTGCCAATCTTATCCTCGTAGTTTGGCTTGATTCTGGAATAGAACAACTGCTTGGTTGTTACTCTGAAGCCTCTGAAGAAGCAAAGAGGAAACCAAGGATACTTACATTTTAAACTTGGATGAGACATTAATCCAAAAGCTGGAGAACACGCTGTACACCAGTGCTAGCAGGCATCTAGCAGACAACAGTCATCCATTAGTAGTAAAAAGAAGAAAGAAAGATCAATACAAGTTTTTTTGTTTTTCTTCCTCAAACCCATACCTTTTATTTGATCCATTCAAGACAAATTTCTGCAGTAAGTGGATAGTTACCTTTACTTCTTATTTGATCCATTCAAGGTTAAATTTCTACCATCTATTTCAACAGGCTAGTATAACAGTGGAGAAGTGGGCAGCTATTAAAATTGTGTTTTTGAGTTGAAACATTGACAACATTCTTGTTGAGTTTTGAGCAAATTGTTAGTACTCAATTGACAAGTTTTATGGCAAAAAAAACCAATGATTTGGTGGTTGGATTGATTGGACAATCCCCCCCTCCTTTAGTTCTTGTGAATTGTGTAAAGGAAAAAGCCTTTGATCAACTTGAGAAAGTCCAAGGTAACTATCCTTGTACTAGGATGAGTATTTGCAGAAGCAAGTGTAAGCATGGGTGGTGATGATGGTGAAATTGTTTGAAACATTTTAGCATATAGGAGGTTGGAGCGGCTGGAGAACTGCGATAGCCCTTGGTGTGATGAGGCAGTTAGTGGGCCAGGGTGAGCTTGTTATGCTGTATAACATGTGAGTTGGGCATGGTGAGCATATGATAGTGGTCAACTGGCGAGCCCTAACTCATATGAGCCAGGATTTTGCCTACATGGCATTTCCTACCACATACATTCATTCATATACTGTTTACAAGGTTTTGTAGTGCCTCCCAAGAAGCATGAGATCAATGATGCTGCAGTGACATATATGCTACATATAATGGGGGAACTTGGGTCTGAATTGAACAGTTCCCAACAGTGCCATACAAGCCCTGGCCAGTTAAGGTGAATAATTACTAGTGAGAGGGATCAAGATGGCATCAATAACAATAGGGGATGTGGTCTATTTAAACATACTTAGGCCAGTAGAGCATTTCTTCTTTGTCTTTTTGCCATTCAAACTCTGGAAATAATTTATGTTTTGATTGACATGGCATTTGAAGTGTGATATATAAATATTTCTTGGGAGTTGTGGAGAATCTATGCTAAAGGACAATAAAGATCCAAAAGAAATCAATGCGAGAGCTAGTTATAAGAAGGAAGGCAAACCTCACCCCTTTAAGTGATTAATAGTATTTAAAATGTTTAAAAGTAGTGAAAAGATTATAAATGCTAATGAAATTGCTTTTGGTTTTTAGTGAGTTTTAAAGTGTTTTGGATTATAGCTCATGGTCAGTCATTAGCAACAAAGTTAATTTTGTGAAGTAATCTTTATTTTCTTTTCTCACAGCTTACTAGATTCTTACTTAAGCACACACAGAAGAATTTGTATGACACAATGCCTCTTGGCATTGATTCTGGCATAGACCTTGCTAAATAAAAAATGCCAAAAAATAGTTGTAAACCCAATTAAGAATACCTTTGCTAAATTTTTTAATGAATAGGGTTTCTTAAATCATAACCCCCATCCTTTGTATCTGAGGGTCTATGTAACGAAGTTTTCCTGAATTGGGTTCCTCATCAAGCATCTCATCCTTGTTTACGGTGCAAGATGCTGGACTTCCAGGAAATCCATTTTATGCTTGCGGCAAAGGGAATATCACTGAGTACATCTCCACACTCTTTACAAATACCGCTGATGGCTGGGATATAAGAGCTCTCAATCAATTAATCAATCAATCATTGTTTCAATGGTTGAAACAATGGCACAGAGTTATTCACGTTGTTCTGAAGAAATGGTTTTCACTTATGGATGTCTCCTCCGGGCCTTGGACACTGATGGCAGAGTGGACGGAGATTGAGCACGCCTGGCATAGTTTTGTCGTAATAAGACAAGAGATTTATGTTGATCACGATGTATGAAAGTATGTGAAATGTTTTGCTACGTTTGTTTTGTGGTCAAAGAGCTGCCAGATTGAGTGACAATCATCATGAGCAGCAAAGACAAATTCCAGAAACTACAGAGGCTCACTTGTTGCTTTTGAGGATTGAACTCTTTTGATAAGCTCTTGAAAACTTTTCTAGACAAGAGAACTTGGCATGGAAAGTTATGTTTGGTTTTGTCCTTTTTTGTCCTACCAGGACACAGAACTCAGTCATCCTCGAATGCTGCCTCCAAGAGAAAGTTTTCAACAAGAATACTTCTACTGTGCCACCATGACATGATCCACAGATTCACAGGTCTGCGACCAATGACTAAAGGTCTTTACAGTCTTAACTTGACAACACCCAAAGTAGTGGATTCCACGACCATGACAATGGTCGATGATTCATGTCTCCTCAGTAGACAAGATTGAGCACATCTTTGTGGCGACAAAACAAGAGAGCGTCCCCAGAGTTTTGTATGCTTGAGCAAGCCAAAGCCATCAAAGTAAGTTTGCTCGCGTTTGTTTTTGTTAGATGTTTAAAGAGGGTACGTGGCTGGATAAACGGGATTGGAGAGATGTATGAGAAGCTGGGGAATAACTTCTTCAGAAAGAAGAAACTAAGAAGAACGAGCTTCTTTTTTTCGCTCCTTGCATCCCTTTTACAGTACTATAAGGTTGCTTCTCGCCACTCTTCTACGTGTGATGGCTGCTGGTGCCAAAACAGTGGCCACAAGGAATCCTTGCGGCTTATGATGCCTGGGATCCATCACGGCCCAACCGCAGTGTGGAGTTTCCGTTGCCCCACAAAACAGAAGAATTTCCTCACGCTCAAGTCGTTGCTTCCGCGGGTGGCCTGGTATGCGTCTTCAGGACGCACAGGGGATTGGTTGATCCTGTTGATGATGTGTTTCACCTGGTGGTGGGGGTTATGGCATATGGAATGACATATGGAAGGTTGATGGCAAGGGTGGCTTGGTTCAAAGACCCATAAAGCAATGCTTGATCAAGTGTACAGGCAGTGCTCTGTCAGAATGGTTTTCTGTTGTTCTGTTCATGCAGAGGCCAATCTGGTGATCTTTTCAGAGACAGGGCTCATGTTTGTTTACGACTTGCCAATCGAGCATTAAGTATCTCATCTTTACTTGTAGGCATGGCGTTTCATTATTTAGCAGCAGACAGATAAACTCCGAGCTCTTCAACTTTTTTGGTGCTTTCTAACAAATTCATTGAGGCTTTGTTTTCCTTTTTCTAGGCATCAAATTGGGCACTTTGTCACAGTTTTTCAATGTCACGTACATTCACAGCTTCTGGGGCGATTTTCTTTGTGCTATTAAACACAGAGGTAAATAGAATAAACGTGCTGCAAGTTTTTTGTTCTAATGCAGACCAAGTTCATGCAGGACTTGCACCACAAGTACTTGACCAATGCAGTCCATCAGTAAGCACCAAAAGAAAGCAAGAATTTTATGCCTTCTGCTGTCCTTGTGTGTGTAGATGTTTCCTTCTTTGGAGCACACAGGAGGGAAGTCATGCATGAACAACATGATGCAGTGCTTGCTCGACTTCCGCTCATTGCTCAAGAACATTAGGAGTTGGGAGGAAACTGTATTCGTTATCCCAACCATTTTACAAGTTCTAGAGCTGAGATCGTAGTTTCATGAGACCGTCTGCCCCTTACACAAATGCCACTTGAAATCCGAGACTTTTGGACGGCTCTAGATTACAATGGCTATTTTGCATCAACATGTTGAGGGACTATCACGCAGAAGAAATTCTCGATATGAATCCGAGCGTGATTTTGATTTATGCGTCCCATGGGATTTTCTTTGTAATTAGCTTCAAACAAGCTGGCACGAAATCACAATTGAAATACAATGATCTTTCAGAGTCTTGGTTTTCAAGGGTGGAGGAATCCAACGTGGCCCATGGTACCGTGCCGTTTGCCACGACCATTCTAAATTCCCAGAATGGCAATTAGAACTTCAACAAAAACCTGCTAAAGTAGAATCAAAACAAAAGGAAAGTGAGTGCATTCCAAGTAATGAGTTGCATGTTCTTCATATTCCAAGTTCTTGATTCTGTAAGACTTCACATCCTTGGAATTCAGGGAGACTCGCGTGCGCTCAGTCCAGAATGCAACGACAATTTCCTTAAGACGGTCATGTCTGATACTTCTTCCTAGCTGTGTCGACCCATGCGTCTGAGCCTGCCATCTGCCTTGCTCCTGCAAAGTGGCGCCGGTTGATGTTGAGGATGCGGCCCATGGCAAAGTCATTAACTCTGTTTTCCCCAGCAAAGGCAGCAAGCTTATCTCTTGATTGAACTCCTTTGTTTTGTTGGCAGCGTGCTGAGAGCAGAGTTCGAAATCCTTTCCATGCTAAGACCTAGAAAGAAAAGATTGAGAACAAGAAAACAAGAACCAACCTGGCGAGGTTAAGAATCTCAAGCTTCTCCTCCCTCCCGTGTCTTCTCAGCAAAAAAGAAACTGATTTTCTTCGCTGGTGATAGAATACATTAGAAATTGATACAACAGAAAAAGATTTGGAAAATCTTTCAGTTGGTTACAAAAAAGTTTAACAACTTTGTGGTACCACTCCGTGGCGATGCCTTCCGAGGCTTAAGAAAAAATCACGTTGCTCGTTAGTTCCGTCAGATTACCTGTTTACAGTTGCCAGTTTATACATCCAACTCCATTCCTTCCTCATCACCCCAATAGTCTTCCGGTTCAGTAAAGGCTACATCGAAATCTCTTTTCCTCCTAGGCCTGTCCTTGAACGAGCGATGCAAGTCCAATGCCAGCGCTGTATCAACTGCACATGCCAAGGACTCGGGCTCTCCAACTTTGAATCCCTTGTACACGTCTAGAAAGTTTACCAAACTGTCAAAACAAGTTAGCAACGATCACAGTACACAGATGAAGACCACTTACTCCTGAGAAAACAATTGTTTTGCGTTGCCAGCATGAATGATGATCTTGAGCTGGGGACCAACACCCCCTGCAGCAGGAATCACCTCAACAGCAGGAGGCATACGCTCCTTGAAGATTGCTGGATACACTACCATCAACCTGATAATGCCATTCTTCCACCAGCGGTTACCAACCTCCTTCTTGAACTCTGCCCTCAGTTTCGCTGCCTTGCGAGACCTGAATATGAACTCGGGATTCGTCGTCGACACGCCCTGCTCGAACTTCTTCTTGTCAAGAAAGTTCAGGAGCCTGAACTGTGCAAAGAGGATCAGCTCCTTGTTGTCTTCCGTCTTCACTGGGATCACCAGATCTGGACCTGCTAGGAATTCCGGGTTGAGAACCTTTGCTGTTCCCATCCCACCAGCGAGATAGCTCGTCATTCCCTTGGTACTACACACCAGTCGAAGGTTGTCTGCTGACCACAACCTCAGCTGCTGGCAGAAGATGTCTGGTAAAGCAGTTGCGCCCTCAAAGATAGGATGATTACTGAACTTGCCAGCCGAAAGAAAACTGCAAAGAGCATCTGCTGCAGCTATCTCGAGGTTGAATCCCGCCGATTGTGAATTGAGACGATTCATTATGTGAAGGGCGTTGTCCTCACGGAAATAGTACTCAAGCGCTTCCAACACGAGTGGTTCCTCGATCGTTCCTTCCAGCCCGAACTCTCCCTTATTCACATCAACAGCATCCAAATAAGCTAGCCCATGGTGAATCAGCTCGACTTCCTCTTTCCTGATGCAGTAGTACTTTCCAACATATTGGCTTGTCAGACATATCATCCGGCACAATTGGATCAGCTCCACGTTGTGAATCCGCGGCTGGACCTGGATGCGCTTCAAAACCGTGACGTAAGATCCTTCCGAGTCCTCCTTCGTGAGCATCGATCGGACACTCTTAAGCGACTCATTGAGAGAGCGTTGCTTTTCCAGAAAATCCTCAAGAACCCGAGCCAGTGGTCTGTATCTCCCTACGAACCTCTGGAGCAACTCTTCATCAACAGTGTCGTCGACAGCGACAAAATTCTTCATGTACTTGTACATGTCGCCCGTGTCTCGAAACTTGCCGAAGGAATAGAAAGCAGGACCAAGTAGCAGCGGTTTGGCAATTGCCGGCGAGAAAACCTCGGTTTCCTTATGTATGACCAAACAAGTAGCCGAGACCAGCAGCTTGGCAGTCACACCTCTGGAAGGACGACTAAGTGCCTCATACACTTGATGGAACGAACTCCTCATCCCAGTCCCTCTGCCGAAAGGCTTAAACTGATCTTTGTGCAACTCGAAGAGCGCCTGCGCTTCATCCAACACAACGACTACATCAGTAGCCATCCCTATAACCTGCTGCCACTGCTCATTGATCTCTTCCTCTAAGGCGTCCTGCCTTGTCACTACACCTAGAGCTTCCAACTTGACGAGCAAAGACCCCGTTAAATACTTGCAAATATCCAAGAGCAGCTCGAACGTCATATGCCACGCCTTCCAGAACCAAGCTGCGCAATAATCTCAAGTCCTCAAACCCAAAGTTACCCTGCGTGTCAGCTACGAAGTAAAGCCCAATTCTCGAACAGAGAAGCTCCAGCAACGTCCTTGTTTTCCCTGAACCCGATGTGCCCACCACAGAAACCACCGGACCTTTACTGTCTAGCATGTTGCTCAGATCACCAGACTGCGTCAGAAAGCTTGTTCCCAAGCCCGCTAAAAGTAGGCTGGGCTTCCCGTTCACTGTGGGCACAGCTCCAAGCTGCTTAATAGACTCCCGGGCCTTTTGGATAAAAGCGTCTACGCGGGGGAGAGCCTCGATTAATACTTCACCAGCAGTTGGAACTATTTGAGCTGCACAAGACAACGCACAAGCTTAAAACGGAATTAAGAAAAACGGCAGAAAAAAAGAGAGTTTTGCAACGAAGTAAAGCAATGTCTCCTCGGTTTCGAGCTGTGGCAGACTTAGAGCTATGGGATCAATGGCGCAAGCTTTGCAGAGACAAAGAACACAAACAAGGGGTACAATGCAAAAGGAAGGACCTCGAGTTTAAAATGAGCGATTGCACAACAAAGAGGCTTTTGCGATTCGAGATGGCAACAAAACAAAGCTCGACATTTGGGGCTTTTGCGGCAGAAGCAGCTGATTGGGGCTTTTGCAGGGCAAGGCAAGAAGTGTGCATCAAATCTCTTAGATCGCGCATAGCATGTACTTACCATTAGATTTGAGCAGGAGAAGCTCCTTCTCCCGCAGCTGCTTCTCCTTCTCCCGCAGTTGCCACTTCTCCTCCCACAGATGCCTTTTCTTTTCAGGATCTTTCTCACTCTTCAATTGTTCTGTCAACTCTTCGATTTCAGTGCCCACAGCCTGGATGGAATGCTCAAGCTCCTGAAGCAAAGAGTCGACATCCAAGGACGCCATCTTTCTTAGGTTTACGATAATTTTTAATTTTCATAATGTCATATAAAAACTGAGAAAAACTGCCTTATTTTTCAAACTGCAGGAAATAGTCTATGGGTGATGAAGTCCTCAGGCTCTCCAGCACCTTAGGATGTGAGCATAGCCGGCAAGGAAGAACCAAGTGATGTATTTCGTCGGCTTCCACAGGAGGAAAGCTGGCAGCGTGTCCTTGAATCAGGTATTTTCTTCGGCCGTGAAAATCATCTTGCAGGGACACTCTGTGGCTTTGAATCTTCGGTTTGATCGCAGCCTTGTGGAGCTCTATCTCCACACCGAGGAGCTGAGTGTGCAGCTATAGGCTCTCACGAGGATTTGTTCCATAGGTGGCCATGACAAGGAAAAGAAAGCAGCGTTTACCACCACCAGCGATGAAATGCTGGAGACGCTCAATGCCTTCCCGAAGGGAGCTGACTTGTTGCTCATAAGGTTCACTTTTGCTTTGTTATTTCTCTTTCATTTAACTCATCTTTCAAGGATCCAGTGTTTGCTCGGATATATGAGCTATATGTGCATATACTGTGCTGATCTAAAGGACCCGCACGGAGAGTTTATTCTGGAGAAAGCATCAAGGCCACGGCAATCTCAGACAGCCATGAAAAGTAGCTAGAAGGTCCAGATTTATTTTCATCACGTCCTAGACTTCTGTGTGAAATGTCCATCCTCTAGGTCTGGGCTGGCGTTAATACTCCTGTTTTCTTGGTGGACGTATCATCCCAAATACTGCATACATGACAACAGTTGGAAGTCCTAAAGCATCAAGAGATGTGTGAGTTTGCCCGGTAGTCTGAACAAGTCAGATGTTCCAATCATCTTGGTGGGGTCTCGCTGCTCCAAACGGAGTTATCTTACCCCTGTTTGGGCTTCCATGTAGACTGTCTCGTCACCTGACATTGAGCCATTGAAATGCAGAGCTCAAGGCCCACGTCTTTGGAAGCTTTAGTAGGACTTCCAACTGTTATCTTGTATGCAGCATTTTACATTTGAGATGACACGTCCATCAAGAAAATACTGTCTGGACCTAGAGGATGGAAAGATCACACACAAGTCTGGGATGTGATAAAAGAAATCCAGACCTTCAACCTACTTCTCATGGAGTTCCCCACTGGCTAAGATTGCTGAGGCCTTGACGCTTGCTCCAGAATAAAGTGTCCATGTGGATCCTTTAGATCAGTGCAGTAAATGCACAATTGCATGCCATATCTCCGAGAAAATAAAAAATAGAGCACTTTAAATGCATCCTGGAAAAAAGAAAGAAGGAAAAAAAGTTTGTTAAAATGAAGGAGAAAATAGCAAACCAACCTTACAGTGAGTAGCTCCCTTCAAGAAATCCTTGAAGTTCTCCATATCATTGCCAGTGGTTGAAAACACTGCTTTCTCTTCTTTATCATTGCCACCTATAGAGTCTTTAGCTGCACCTTCAGCTCCTCAGTGTGGAGATAAAGCTCCACAAGGCTCTAAGCACAGTTGGGATCAAATTGGAGATTAAATACTATTGTATGCAACAAAATTATTTACCCAATCTCATTAGATAGTATTTATTAAGATGTATTTTCTAATACATCTTAATGTATTACACATGGTTTTCATTTTTTACTCTTAAATGATTTACTAATGTAAACCCTTTGCCAAGGGCAGCAGTGTAAAACATAAGTTGCCATTGAATGAAGGGATAGAGCTATAAACTCTTCAGTATACATTCAAGGAGTGAATAAATTGAAGTATGAATGACATTGAAACAATTCTAGAATATTTATTATCTTAACACAAAGACAAATACATAAAATGGAACCAATGTTGGAGTGAATGCTCATACATCCATCCTTACCAGCAAATGTTACGTCATTTAAAAAAGTCAAAATATACCTTTGTGAAATCTAATGTTACTTTAGTATACCATAGCATAACATGAGAATATGAATATTCCATTAACTAACATGGTATATAACTTGGGGTTAAATCTAAGTTGAACACAAACACACAAGTGAAGGGTTAAATTATATTTTAAATTGGTCAATCACTATCCCTACTATAAAGCTAAGATTATCATTTCATGAGATTATTTACCCTTACACAAATTTTACTTGAAATCCAAGATTTTTGAACAACTCTCAATTACAATAGCTATTTTGCATCAACATGTTGAGGAACTATCACGCAGAAGAAATCCTCAATAGGAATCCGAGCATGATTTTGATTTATATGTCCTATGGGATTTTCTTTGTAATTTAAGTTGGCACAAAATCACAATTGAAATACAATGATCTTTCAAGTCTTGGTTTTCAAGGGTGGAGGAATCCAGCATACCCATGGTACCGTGCCATTTGCCATGACCATTCTAAATTGCCAGAATGGACTTTGATCAATTAGAACTTCAACAAAAACCTGCTAAAGTAGAATCAAAACAAAAGGAAAGTGAGTGCATTCCAAGTAATGAGTTGCATGTTCTTCATATTCCAAGTTCTTGATTATGTAAGACTTCACATCCTTGGAATTCAGGGAGACTCGCGTGCGCTCAGTCCAGAATGCAACAACAATTTCCTTAATACGGTCATGTCTGATACTTCTTCCAAGCTGCGTCAACCCATGCGTCCGAGCCTGCCATCTGCCTTGCTCATGCAAAGTGGCACCGGGTGATGTTGAGGATGCGGCCCATAGCAAAGTCATTAACTCTGTTTTGCCCAGCAAAGGCAGCTAAGTTAGCAAGGTTATCTCTTGATTGAACTCCTTTGTTTTGTTGGCAAGCTTGATTTGCGTGCTGCGAGCAGATTTCGAAATCCTTTCCATGCTAAGACCTAGAAAGAAAAGATTGAGAACAAGAAAACAAGAACCAACCTGGCGAGGTTAAGAATCTCAAGCTTCTCCTCCCTCCCGTGTCTTCTCAGCAAAAAAGAAACTGATTTTCTTCGCTGGTGATAGAATCCATTAGAAATTGCTCCAACAGAAAAAGATTTGGAAAATGTTTCAGTTGGTTACAAAAAACTTTAACAACTTTGTGGTACACCGCTCCGTGGCACAGACATTAATCTTCTGTGCATTTAAAGACACTGCGATGCCTTCCGAGGCTTAAGAAAAAATCAAGTTGCTCGTTAGTTCCGTCAGATTACCTGTTTACAGTTGCCAGTTTAAACATCCAACTCCAATCCTTCCTCATCACCCCAGTAGTCTTCCGGTTCAGTAAAGGCTACATCGAAATCTCTTTTCCTCCTAGGCCTGTCCTTGAACGAGCGATGCAAGTCCAATGCCAGCGCTGTATCAACTGCACATGCCAAGGACTCGGGCTCTCCAACTTTGAATCCCTTGTACACGTCTAGAAAGTTTACCAAACTGTCAAAACAAGTTAGCAACGATCACAGTACACAGATGAAGACCACTTACTCCTGAGAAAACAATTGTTTTGCGTTGCCAGCATGAATGATGATCTTGAGCTGGGGACCAACACTGCCTGCAGCAGGAATCACCTCAACAGCAGGAGGCATACGCTCCTTCTTGAAGACTGCTGGATACACTACCATCAACCTGATAATGCCATTCTTCCACCAGCGGTTACCAACCTCCTCCTTGAACTCTGCCCTTAGTTTCGCTGCCTTGCGAGACCTGAATATGAACTCGGGATTCGTCATCGACACGCCCTGCTTGAACTTCTTCTTGTCAAGAAAGTTCACGAGCCTGAACTGTGCAAAGAGGATCAGCTCCTTGTTGTCTTCCGTCTTCACTGGGATCACCAGATCTGGACCTGCTAGGAATTCCGGGTTGAGAACCTTTGCTGTTCCCATCCCACCAGCGAGATAGCTAGTCATTCCCTTGGTACTACACACCAGTCGAAGGTTGTCTGCTGACCACAACCTCAGCTGCTGGCAGAAGATGTCTGGTAAAGCAGTTGCACCCTCAAAGATAGAATGATTACAGAACTTGCCAGCCGAAAGAGAAACTAATTACTATAACAGAATTCTGATCTACTGTTTTAATTTAATTTTAAAAATATTTCAAATTAGTTAAAATATTATGATTATTTATTAACTATTTTCTTAATCTAATGGTGTAGTAGTTAACTTTCCTTAACGATGTTCCTATAGCCGTCATACCCTAACCTAAGAAGGATGGCGTCGTTGGATGTCGACTCTCCGCTTCAGGAGATTGAGCGTTCCATCCAGGCTGTGTGCACTAAAATCGAAGAGTTGGGAGAACAACTGAAGAGCGAGCAAAATCCTGAAGATATCTGCGGGAGGAGAAGCGGCAACTGTGGAAGAGGGAGCAGCAGCTGCGGGAGAAGAAGCTTTTCCTGCTCAAATCTAAAAGTAAGTCTTTGATACATTATTCACTCCGCCTGAGCATCTACTAGCCTTGCCCCAGTCATGTACAGATCTGCCATAAAAGCCCCAACTGTCGAGCATTGTTTTGTTGCATTGTCCGGTTATGTCACAAAGGCCAGTTCTTTAGTTGCGAAAGCGTTGCAATCCCAACAGCCCCTCATTTTAAACTTGAGCTACACTTTCATTCTTTTGCATTTTACTCCTTGTTTGTGTTCTTTGTTTCTGATTTTCCCCATCCAAAGCTTGCGCCATTGATCGCCACAGCTCGAAACCGAGGAGACTGTTTTGGAAGACATTGCTTTACCTCCATGCATGTTCTGCCAAAATTTTTTTCCGTTCTAAGCTTGTGTGTTATCTTGTGCAGCTCAAATAGTTCCAACTGCTGGTGAAGTATTAATCGAGGCTCTCCCCCGCGTAGACGCTTTTATCCAAAAGGCCCGGGAGTCTATTAAGCAGCTTGGAGCTGTGCCCACAGTGAACGGGAAGCCCACTTTTAGCGGGGTTGGGAACAAGCTTTCTGACGCAGTCTGGTGATGTGGGCAACATGCTAGACAGTAAAGGTCCGGTGGTTTCTGTGGTAGGCACATCGGGTTCAGGGAAAACAAGGACGTTGCTGGAGCTTCTCTGTTCGAGAATTGGGCTTTACTTCGTAGCTGACACGCAGGGTAACTTTGGGTTTGAGGACTTGAGATTATTGCGCAGCTTGGTTCTGGAAGGCGTGGCATATGACGTTCGAGCTGCTCTAGCTCAGTCGGTAGTACGAGCTTCAGTTTTGGCTCGGTTATTTCTACTTAAGCGTTGTCTTGAGATGAAGTTCTTGGCACGGGAATGGTTGCTACTCCAGCTTCTGGGAAGTCAGTTTGTGCAGGTGGATATTTGCAGGGATTTAACGGGGTCTTTGCTCGTCAAGTTGGAAGCTCTAGGTGTAGTGAGAAGGTAGGAAGCCTTAGAGGAAGAGATCTATGAGCACTGGCAGCAGGTTATGTAGTTGTTGTGTTGGATGAAGCACATGTGCTCTTCGAGTTGCACAAAGATCAGTTTAAGCCTTTCGGCGGAGGGACTGGGACGAGTAGTTCGTTCCATCAAGTGTATGAGGCACTTAGCCAACCTTCCAGAGGTATGATTGCCAAACTGCTAGTCTCGGCTACTTGTTTGGCCGAACATAGGAACACGGAGGTTTTCTCGCCGGCAATTGCCAAACAGCTGTTATGGGGTCCTGCTTTCTGTTCTTTCGGCAAGTTTCGAGACACAGGCGACATGTATGAGTACTTGAAGAAATTTGTCGCTGTCGACGACACTGTTGATGAAGAGTTGCTCCAGAGGTTTGTAGGGAGATACAGACCACTGGTTCGGGCACTTGAGGATTTTCTGGAAAAGCAACGCTCTCTCAATGAGTCGCTTAAGAGTGTCCTATCGAAGCTCACGAAGGAGGACTCGGAAGGATCTTATGCCCGATTTTGAAGCGCATCTAGGTCCAGCCGCGGATTCACAACGTGGAGCTGATCCAATTGTGCCGGATGATATGTCTGACAAGCCAATATGTTGGAAAGTACTACTGCACCAGGAAAGAGGAAGTCCAGCTGATTCACCATGGGCTAGCTTATTTGGATGCTGTTGATGTGGATAAGGGAGAGTTCGGGCTGGAAGGAACGATCGAGGAACCACTCGTGTTGGAAGCGCTTGAGTACTATTTGCGTCTTCACATAATGAATCGTCTCAATTCACAATCGGCGGGATTCAACCTCGAGATAGCTGCAGCAGATGCTCTTTGCAGTTTTGAATACTTTGAATACTTTTATCCAAACTTTATTTTATATTTATCTAATGGTTATGGTAACTAAATACAAAAATAAGTTTTTTTATACTCTCATACAGAGGAATTTTACTTTCAAACATATTATTTTATAATCACATGGCTTATTAAAGTATGACCAAGTTAAGTTTAGTCAGTTCATTTTATGACAGATTAGTTTGTGACTAATCAAAGGCTTTTAGACACTGCTGTGGAGTGTGCTCACCAACTGTGAGCAATGGTGCAAAGGGCTTGGGGGAAGTGGTGATCTGTTCTGCATTAGCATGGTAATTCTTTCTTAAGTTTTAATAATTGGTATCAGAGGGTAGAGTTCAAGAATCTGCAAGTTTGTTGTTATAGATTCTAGGGAGGAAGTTACTAATCAATCATCTGTAGAGGCTTGGACAATAGATGAGGTGGTGCTGGAATTGTAAGCCTGCAACAACAATATCGAAACCCTTGAGGTTGATATGTATGGATTTTTAGCAAACATGTGTGAGTGCATAAAAAAGATGGAGAATTCTTGAGGTGGCAGGAGTTGTGTTATAGATTAAGCTCAGATTCCTGAGTTTGATGGCACTAATGTCCCTATGGATTGGCTGCACAAAACCTTGAAACTGATCTAGGGTCAAGGATTGCCAGATAAGGATGCATTGATCTTTGTGGAGGTGGTGCTTAAAGGCTAGGTTACACATTAGTGGACTTGCCTTTTGAACCAATATACCACTGCTAGCAAAGGATCTTTGGTGCTAATTGAATTTGAAAAAGCTTTCAAGTAGAAATTTGCTCCTTGCTATGATGCTTTTCATGCATGATGCAAGCTTTGGTACTTAAAGCAAGATGATTTGGGCCTAGAAAAGTGTATTAAGAAGTGCCCAACAACTATACTGAGGAGGTCTAAAAAGATTACTTTATGAATGGCTTACACAACAAAGGGATGCAAAATCACTTGAAAACTTCCAAGGTAACAAAGTCTTTAGAGAAGCTTTTTGAACAAGTTTTGAACTTAGTGGATGAGGGTGAGCCATGTCCTTAGGACAAGGGTGCCAAACATGGGAGAAGCCCCTCTCAAGACAAGACTAATGGTGGATGTGGGTATTTGAAGTCTTGTGTGGAGTGTGGCAGCAACGGTGGTCGAGGCAATGGTAAGAAGCCTCAGATTACCAAGAAAATGCACAACCATTGCCATAAGTGTGGTGAGGAAGGCCATTGGAAAGCAGATTGTTCTCTGTTGAAAAACAAGAACAAACCTTTGAACACAAGTATTAGAGCTTTAAGCAGGAAGGTCTAGGAAATGCAACATGAGGAGAATCCAGATAAGAAGTATATCTCTATGATTTCCTGTACATTTAATGGGATTTGGAGTGATGTTCTTATGGACTTGGCTTCAGAATCCTATGTGATTTGAGTTGAGGGATTGCTAGGAGATCATATAGTGTGCATTTTACTGGATAGTGGCAATTCCAACAATTTTATCCCAGTAAAGTTGGTTGAGTACAAGCTGCCAATGACTAAAGTGATTCCTTATAGAATTTCTAGAGTTGCCACCAAGAACCAATAGTGGGATGGTGTGGTGCATGACTTATTGGTGAAAGCTGGTAAGTTCACCATGGTGGAAGATTTCTTTTTTGCAAATTTATATCATGTGGACATAATCCTTGGCATGTCATGGCACATGCATGTTGATCCCAAGATCAAGTGGAGCCTTCAACATGTGAAGCTTGAGTATATGGCATACGTGATATTTGGTTTGGAAGCAATGTTCCAAGCTTGACTAAGTTGAAGTTGGTAATGTCTTTGAAGAGCACTGTGCACAATAAAGATAATGAACTTTGTTTGATGTATATCTGAGAGTTGGATACATCAAAGTTTTTGCATGGAGAATCAATGGTGGGCAGAGGAATTTGAGGAGTTGAAGGATATGTTCTCAACTGAGATACCATGTGGTTTGCCACCTTTATGTGGAGTTGGACATGAAATTATGCTAAAACCAGGCATAAAGCCAATCTATTGACAACCATTTGAGCTAAGTCATGTTGAGGAAGTAGAAGTCAAATATCAAGTGACTAAGTTGCTTAAGTACAGCTTTATCAAGCCAATCAAGTCTCAATTTGAAGTACCAATCTTGCTTTTTAAGAAGAGAGATGGCTTGATGTGGATGTGTAGTGATTACTATGCTTTAAACAAGAAGACAATCAAAAAGAACATGCTGATGCCGTATATAGATGACATTTGGATAGGCTTGGGGAAGCTATAATTTTTACCAAGATTGACTTGCAAAATGGTTATCATCAGATTGCTCTAAATGATATAGATATCACAGAGTTAGCTTTCTTTATGAGTTTTAAGCATTTCAAATTTACAATGATGCCATTCAGATTTATGAATGCACCAGTGACTTTTATGAGGCTCATGACCCATGTGTTTGGGGAGTATTTGCATAACTTCGTGGAGATTTTCCTTAATGATATTTTTATCTTTAACAAGAATATGATTGGGCATAGACGACATGCACAAAGTGTTAGAGTTGTTATGTAAGTATAAGCTTTATGCTAAGAGGAGTAAATGTGAGTTTGTGTAATTTGAATGCAAATTTTAGGCCATATTGTCTCTATTGAAGGAGTTAAGACTAATCCATAAAAATTTGTTATCATGGAAGAATGGCTAACTCCAACAAATATTATTAAGTTAAGGA